TTTTCATAGTTCAGAGGTGGTTTCAGAAATGTGTCACTATGACTGTGTGCTCCATAGCCTGATGTGGGCACTGTGTGTAGAGGAACCTCTGTCACTCAGTGTTTGCCAGCACCTTGCATGTATCTTTCTTAGGAATGCAGGTTGTGATGATTAGGCTGTTGAATCAGAGCTGAAAAATAAGTAAGTGCTGAAAGCTATGCTTTAGTCTTAATCCTGGAATAACAAGGGAAACCTGAATCTGCTTGAAACAGAGATGAATTATTAGGAATCCTGTTAGATTGAAGCTAGAGTGGAATTGCCTTGTTCTCTTCAGATGGTATTTAAACCTACAAAGGTGCTAGAGATTCATTTTGAATGAAGTGATATTAGTTGCTGTTTTTTAATAGATTTAAAATTAACCTGTCCTTTTAGAGATTTTTTTTTAGGCTTCGAGCGAGAAGGATAATGTGCTTGGGTCTGAACAGGACATGAGTGGTAGAGCTGCCTGATCTTGTAATTTGTGAGCCCGAATCTGCTTCCAGCGCTAGCCTGGTGTATCAAGGAGGGATTGGTGGCTGCAAAGAAAAATTAAAATACGTGAAAAACATCTAGCTGTTAACATCAATAAAATCTAGAGTTCATAAGTAAAGCTCTATTTGTGTTGCACACAAACTTAAACTTCCTGCATGTGTGTGTCGTTGCATGTCACACGCTGCCCTTGGGGGTTCGTGGCGCTGGTCAGGAGGGATTCCCTCCCCTCCTGCAGTTTCCCTGAGTTCCCCCGTCTCCTCCCGACTCTTCCTGACACTCCAGAGATTAACCAGAGGATATTAAATGGGATATTCCAGCCATGCAAGTTACAGAGAGGATTTGCCTGCTCTTAGATGATTGATTTGTAAAAGCTGGTTTAGACCCTTACAAATCTAAAAGCTTTAGTTTAGGAAGGCGTTTCCCCCAGGTCACTTGGGTAAAGATTTCAGATCTTGCCTGACCAGTGATTTTTCGCTGCAGCAATGCTGGATAGTGACAACACTATCTTTACTTGTAGGATGCAGGTTAAGATTAAATAATGTGCTATATTAAATTTACTGGGATGTATGTTGTTTTTTTTGAAAAATGGCATGAAATTTGGATTAGATTATTTCTGGATGTATCTTGTTTTCTGTCTGTTAGAAATGGCATTGGATACCTTCTGTATGAGAAACAGCAATTTATCTTCCTTAGAAAGTGATCCCTTAGTGAACTGTGCTCTAGGAAATATGAAATGTATAGTAATGATAAGTAGGTTCTTTAATACCTGCTTGTAACATGCAAAGTTTAATCAAATCAAAATCCAAGAATATTTATAAAAATTAGAGACTCTGAAGTAGAGCTCTGTTGTTTGTAGTAAGCTGCTGTAGTTCCCTGCTGCATGCTGAAGTTTATGCAAACTTTTGATTGTAATCTGAAGGGAAGGGTTTTGATATGCGTAACTCTTATGAGTCTGCTTAATGTTTGAATGTTCCCTGTGGAAAGGATTTGCTCTCGTGAACACGTTTTGCATTGATCCGTGTGTTTCTGGTATACTTAAGAAAAAAGGAGCTCATCCTGATGTTAAAGTAGATGGATTTGAGAAACTGATTTATTGCTCCTAATTAGAGAACCACCTCAGGTAATCTTTCTAAAAATCAAGTGTTTTTTTTGTAAGCATGGTTTTCTGATGCCTTTCCATTCTTCCCGTCTTACTGGGTTTGTCAAACATCCATTTTTTATTTGACTAATATTTTTGAGAACTTTTGAAGAACTTAACTTATATAGAGTCCCATTGGTGATAACAGGATTTAGTGTATTTTTTTAGTGTTTTGCATGATTTGCATTCTTACAAGTATTTTTGTAATTATTTTCTGTGCAAATTAAAGAGCTAACCCTGAGAGAAAGATATGTGAGAGAGCAGTGAGGTGCTTGCAAACTTGTCCTCGGGTTGCCTCAAAGGTGTTCGGAGGAGAGGCGTCACTCTGGGAGGAGTGAGGCCTCCTGATGGGAGTTAATACACTGTGTGTGTAGGAAACGGGGACTGAAACAACAGCTGCAAACCTGCTGTTGGAGGGCAGACCGACAGTGTGTGAGCCGAGGGCTCCATGTGGTCCTGGATTGGAATCAGTAGGTACTGGGGATTCGCGCTGGACTTGGGGAGCGAGTGAGGCGCTCGCTGAGGCAGCGAGAGGCAGGTTGTGCGGCACGCGGGAGTGCAGGCCCGAGCGAGGTTATAGCTGAGTTCTTCCTCATCCTCTTCCTGATTCTGAAAGCGCTCTCGGTAAGAATTTCATAAATGCTTTGGACACCAAAGTGAACACCTCGAAGGGATACTTGCTGATGATACTGAAAAAACGGTGTGCGTGTGTAGACAGAATGTGCAAGAGAACCAGATGATCATCTTGAGATCAGAGACCTGTGAGTGGGGTCACTTTTGTTTCTACAAATGTGCAAGATCTGCTGATGGGAACTTGAAGTAATTTCTTTGATAAACTGGAGTTTCTCCCTTGGATGTCAGAGAATATAGCGTCCCGTGGAGGGTCAGCAGAGGCCTGACGAGCGGGCTGAGCTGCCGCACAGTTCTGTGCTGCAGGGAAGGACAGGGAGATGTTTGCAGGAGAGCGGGGGCAAGTCTGAACATTGCTGGACCTGGACACTAAATGTGCCCTCCCCCTCAAAATTCTGTCCTCTCCTGTTTTTTTCTTAAGGGGAAAAACAAACAAGCAAAAAAAGGCTGAGCACAGGGAAGAGCTATAAGGATCATGTTTCGCTTTGAGAGGAGCACCCTAAAAGCAGCTTATCAAAACAAAAGGTGATAAAGCATGCAGTTGCTCCCTGGGATACGTTCAGAGTGATGGATGAATATAAACTTTGAGGTCAAAAAGATGCTTAAGTTTAACATTGGCAGAAGAATAAATGACAATAAATTAGACCTAAATAAATTCAGGGTTGGAATTATCAAGCAAGCCCTGCTGCCCAGATTGGTTGGATTTCAGGACAGCTGTTCCTGGAGCAGCCATAGAGGCACCGCTGCTGCTGAAGCCATGGCTTAAATCTCACCAGTGGAAGCAATTTCGCAGTGTATATTGCCTGTGATAACACAGGGCTGGACTGTGTGCACACGGGAGCTCCAGTTCTGGATTCCTGGGTGAATTTCACTTAAAAAAAACAATTTACAGCTGCAGACTTTAGACTGCTGCATTTGCGGCTGTTTATTGCTGTGGGGTGTAAAGCAGTCGCAAAGGGTGCAGCACACGCAGGTGTATCCTCTGCCATCCCTGTGGCACCTTTCCCACATAGGACAAAGTTTGCTCCAATGGAGGAACATGGATAAAATTTTCTTGAGAAGCTTTTACACCTGCTTTCTGGCAATGCCTCGGGGACAGTGGGTGTTCTGGCCTGGAAGATTCCAGCCCAGTTTGGCTCTGTGCCGTGTTTCTGAAGGGCCGTGGTGCTGGTCGGAGCCCAGCTGCGCACGCACGACGCGGCAGGGCGCTGGCCTGGTCTGCGCGTGGCTCCGCTCGGGCTGCGTCCCCTGGGGTGCCCCATGGAGAATGGGCATCAGCGGCTCCTTCAGGGTTTCAGTAGTGAAGGATGCTGTATATGGATATATATCCATACATACTCGTGTAGCGTTTGTCTGCCAGTCATCTAGTGAGTAAACTGTGATTAGCCAGACTGCACATGCAGATCTCCCTTTATCTTTTATTTAAGTAGCTTCTGTGTATTCTTGCTGTCGTTCGTTACATTTTCTGTCCCTTTTTCTTCCTCCTTTCAGTATTCAAATACGCAGGATCAATGTGTTGTCCTGCTAGTGGCTGTCAAAAGGAGTATGAAATGGTGAATATTTGCAAGGGCCTAATTGTGTGAACCTGTTCAAAAGCTCCCACTAGTGCCATGTATGTGTGTGCATGGACATGTTTTCTGATCATGTGGACAAGGCAGAAGACTTAGCACTGCTCTTGATATGTTTGCCAGCTGACTTCTCAGTGAAGTTCAAGGTCTTATTATTGTAGAGGAGTCCCAAATGCCCTTGGTACCATATAGTTCAAAGACATGCACAGCAGTTGATTTTAGTCCTGAGCACTCGCTAAGTGTTTACAGGCTATGGCTAAAGGCAGTTTCAGATGGGAAATTTTCAAGTTGCAAGTTTTGCAGGGATTTTTTTTCCCCCCCAGCAGAAATATATGTCAACTGGGACTGTCGGCCTGGCAATATTGAGAAATATTTTTAAGTGTGCTATTGTCCAGATTTTTGTGGATTTCCTCCAGACTTTTCCTTTGGTGTCATTCAGTTGCAAGTTTTGCAGGGATTTTTTTTCCCCCCCAGCAGAAATATATGTCAACTGGGACTGTCGGCCTGGCAATATTGAGAAATATTTTTAAGTGTGCTATTGTCCAGATTTTTGTGGATTTCCTCCAGACTTTTCCTTTGGTGTCATTCAGAAAACTTGGAAGAATATGGTTTTTTTCTATCTCTTTTTGAAGACTGTGTTGCTTTTGGAGGATAGTAAAAGGTTTTTCTGTCCCTGTAGAGGAAGTTGTTTTGCCAGAACCTGAACTCTGTAAAGCATGCCCAAGTTTTGGTACTGTGAGTCATGCCATGACTAATGATATCTGTAATTAAAAAATAGTTATTTTAGGGGACATCTGGACAATGATAAAGAGTTACTTGTTGGTAGGAGGGTAAGGATAGAAGAACATCTACAGTAGGATGTAGGCCTTGCTTCCTCACCGTACTGTGCCAATCTTAGGGAGCATATGTAATATGCACTATAAACTATTGTGTGTTGCACCTGAGTGTTAGAAAATGCTGTGAACACTGTGATTATCCTGCTTTGGGGTGACAGGTCCCTGATTTGAAAAACTCGAGGCGCAGAGGAGTTGTGTTTCTTATTCGCTTTTGCAGAGTGAGGCAGCAGAAGATTCATAAATCAGATTTCCTCCTGTTCCTTAGTGTTAGTCTGATGATGTATTAATGATGTGTTAATAACAGTTTTTTCTTTGTAGGAAACCTGTCCAGTCTAAGCCGTCTTGGCCTAAGGTACAACAGGCTGTCGGCAATTCCGAAGTCCTTAGCGAAGTGCAGCGAACTTGACGAGCTGAACTTGGAGAACAACAACATTTCTAGTCTACCCGAGGTGAGAGGTGCAGGGGACTGAGGTGGGAGGGAAGGAGGTTTAGCAGAGGGATTGGACCATGAAAAAGCACCTTATTTTGCATTGTAACCCTAAGGAATACTCTGTCATAGATACTTGGCCTTAGCATTCTGATTTTAATGTAAAAAAAGGTATGCTGTTGACACCAGTGTGGTCTCGCAATTTGTTGGCACATCAATCCATCAGTTAAGAGGGAGAAAAAAAAATAGGACTACGTTTTGCATTTCCAAGCACCACTGCGAGGATCAGGCAAAGAGCAGTTCTCTCACTTTTCCCCTTTTTGTTGTGGCTGCACTTGATTGTCATGTTCACTTCTCCTTTGCTTCAAGCACAGTTTAGGAGAAAGGAGCTTTAGAGCCACTTCTTGAGTCTACAGAAGTGACACGTTTCCTGGACTGAGTGCGGACAGAAAGTCCTAGTCACCGGTGTGATTTTACCTTTTTCTATACTCCTGTGCTATAATTTTCCAAAATGCCCCTGTAGTCTCCAATTTCACATTGCTGGGAGGCCAGAGTAATTGGTTACAGAGCGTTAAAAAACAAACAAGCCAAAAAAGAAAAGTTTAGATATCTGCAACCTTGAAAATCTGTAGATTGCTGGATTGTATCTACCTTTTTTGTTTGTGTGCAGTTTCTTGGGACGAATTGGTGCTAAACATATAGAGATAAATCTTTTTACTGCATTTTTTTAAGCGTTCCAATCCCATTCAAAATAAGAGTTGTGTATATATTGCTAATTAAATAAATGTATGTAATGAGGAAGCTAGAAAACTATGCATAGAGAGGGGACAAAAAGCTAAATACATCTGGAATTAAACATTCATAGCAACCAAGTGCAGTCACTACTTTCCTTCAGATAAATTACTGAACAGACATGATAGCGTTCAGGTAAAACTGTCATTTAAGAAAAAGCTAATGAGTGAGAGCTACACCAGGCTGCTTTTACAGGGAAAGTTAAAGTAGCCCAACCCACCAAGGTACAAAAGCAACTGCAATGTAATCACAAATGGATACTGTGAGAGGTGACTACTTGCTCTAAAATATATTCAACCATAATAAAAAACTCCTTGAGACTTGCACTGCCTTCTGCATACATATTTACCAACAATATTTTAACACTTGAGCTGCTGCTTGCAGCAGGGGATAATTTAGTAGTGCAATCTGTCTAACAGGAAACTTTTTTTTTTCCATGATGCAGAGAGTTACATTTGCAGAATAAACTTATATTTGAAAACATAGCTGAAGCTGCTGACAATGCCTAATAAATATTTTATCTTAGAAGGCTGGGCTGGGAAAAGTTCTCATAGATGCCACAGTTCTCATAGATGACAAGAGCATTGCTCTCAATACTACCACAGTTCTGTTTCTTCCCTTCAGACATGTGTTTGGTTACTCTAGGCTATTAGAGTATATTAGCTAACTTTTTTGTGTGTATTTTTGTATGGATGAAGATTTCAAAATGAGTTTCAAAAATGCCAACATCCATTTGGAGCACTGGAGTGTGTTTGTAGCAGAGCTCAGAGACCGCCTAACTCTAGGAAGAAGAATATCAGTTAAATAAAGAGTAGCTAAAAGCAGGATTTCGTAATCAAAGGTTGTACTAGCTAAGGATTAGATTTTAATGATGAGTGCTGTTGTAAAGATCTATTGTTTGGTCCTAGGGGGAAAACTGCTTCACTGATATTTGCTGAGATGTCCTGAGAATTGTATTTCAATTCTTCAAAGTTTTAGCTATGACATGTAGATAAGACCTTGCTTAATCCATTTTATTTATGGTGATATTAGTAAACTGTTTAGAAAAGGGAAAGTAACCAAAACTTTCCTGGTAAAAGCCTCAAAATCAGGCTATTAATTTTTAAGGTGAACATAGCACCCAGTTTGTAACCCAGACATAGCGACTTTTAAGAATACGGTTGGAATCGTTATCCTGTTACAGCTTGTTCCTGATTGCAGGTGTTGCATTATTTATGGCATATAATGCCATGCATAAATCTCTAATTTCTGTGATACTTGAGCAAATAGAGCTGAATGCTAGTTGGCACCATGATAAGCAAGGGTGGTGCTTCAGCAGTAATTTAGCTCTCATTATTCATCTCCATAGCTTCAGCAACTTGCTTGGCACATAGCTGCCAGATAAACCCAGAGGTCCCTGCTGTCTAGGTTTTATAAGATAATAAAATTAGGAGATGTGGAATGAGCCTGTGGAGTCATTGGGTAACCCTGGATATCTTACTGAACTCCAGGATTGTTGCTTTGCATTTTCTTAGGGGGAAAAAACTGAAAAGAGAAGTAGAGGAATATTGTTTAGGAATATGCTTGAAAAGAGGGGAAAAAATTTGGTTTTCTGATAACCCTTCTGAACCCTCCTATTCTTTCACTTGGCCCTGTAGATGTTTCCTAAAGGAAATCAAGCCCACATTTGAAAAAGCAGCGTGTGCCATGGATACTCGTGTGAGCCGCGCTCTCAGCTCTGAGCAGCTGTTGGCATTGGACAAACTGTAGCGCTTCTAAATGCGAGATGTTTGCTCTCATGCATCTACCAGTATATAAGGAAAAAGAGAGATATAGCATAAAGTCTAATGGTTATGAGGGGGAAATTGTTGCTAACAACTTTTATCAAATTTAACACTGGTTTATGCGTTACAACTGTTTGTGTTTTGGGGATGCCTGGGAGGGGAGGCTTTCCTAACTAGATGCAGAAAGAAAAGGATGTGTGTCCTAAGTTCCTGAGTGGTTTTCTTCTCTCTGCAGGGTCTTTTATCCAGTCTTGTCAAATTGACTAGTTTAACACTGGCCAGGAACTGCTTCCAGTCCTACCCTGTGGGCGGCCCGTCCCAGTTCTCCACAATCTACTCCCTCAACATGGAGCACAACCGCATCAATAAAATCCCCTTTGGAATTTTCTCTAGAGCTAAAGTTTTAAGTAAGCTGAACATGAAGGTGAGACATGGACACTGCTGTTTGTAACATCAGTGAGGAGCTGAGTTTCTTATTCCAGGTGTTCTGGCAATCTTGATTATCCAAGGAATAAATTGTTGATGCTGAGATGGACTCTGCTGCTCTCACATATAGAAGCGTCTCCGTATGAGTTCTGAGAAGTACTGTTGAAATGTTGTTGATCTGTCTCTGTCTTTGTTCATTGAGAAGTGACACATTTTCCTGCATTTGAACAGTGAGAGCAACGTAGCCAGTTGCAGAGTTCAGATGAGTCCCAAGAGTGCAGAGTGTGACTGATTTCTTTCTCTACTTTTGTGGTTTAGATAAAAACAAAATTATGTAAACTAACTTGTAGGCTTTATTTATTTATTTATTTATTACATATTCCTCCAAATCTAACCAAGTTTGGAGACTTCTGGTGGTAGTTGCAGAGCACACACCAAAAGAGCCTTGCAGCATGTGCCACATATAGCGAGGAGCCAGCGGAAAGTGATGATCCATCTCTGGATTTGTTTTAGGCTCTGATAAAGACAGGATAATAAAATCTGTTTCAGCAGTAACCAAGCCCATTTAAAAAATATTTTTAGCATAAATGATTTCTTAGTTTTCATTATTAGCACATGCTTGTCTGTTATTCTGCGTGTTTACCAGTTCTTCGAATAACCTGCTTTTTTTAAGAGTGTTTGGTCAAAATCAAATTTCATAGCAACATTGTGAACAGCAGGATGTTCAGACTCATTTCAGATGTGTTTGCTCCGGACCATTAAGGTGTATTTACTGGTGGCTTCAGGGGATTTTTGTTTTCTAAACCACGTGTAGCTGTTATTTTCAGACCTGGTCTGTGAAGCGTTACTGGCTGTTCCCTGTGTCCCAGCCTAGCCAAGTAGCCAAAACCTTGAGTAATGTTTTTGACACTTGTGGTGTTTTGTAACTGTACACTTACTTTTTTATGGATTGGCAAAAGAGGATTTGGAGGTTTTCTTTTGTTTTGGTTTGTTCTTTATAGCAAATTTTGTATGTTTTGGGGATTCTGGTATTGCTGATAGCACCTTTACAAGTCACGGTAAATTTTCAGTGCGTTTATTTGGGTTTTGTGTGTTTGTTTTTATTATTATTTTTTTCTTATCTTAATTGTATTCAACTCAAAAAGGACAAAAATAATGTCCTTTGGGACATCCGAAATCTTGAGAATTATATACCTCTAATTTCACTTCAATTCACTTTGGTAGGACAGATTTCATTCTGTAACTCTTTATGTTCTAAAGAATTTGAAAAATATTTGGCTAATTATAAAGATTTTCTTATTTAATTATCTACATTTTTATTATCAGTTCTTCATTTTATGAACAGTTTGTTTAATCCCTCAGCTACCTTGTTGACCTCTCATGAATGCAAGTCCTAAATGTTTGATGTGTTAAATCCCAGGACAATCAGCTGACCTCGCTCCCCTTGGACTTCGGGACTTGGACAAGCATGGTGGAACTGAACCTAGCTACTAATCAGCTCACAAAAATCCCCGAGGACGTATCTGGGCTTGTTTCTCTTGAGGTGAGAAGAGTATAAGTGAAATATAAATGATTAGGCGAATCCATGCAACTAGGCACTTTTTTCCGTTGGGTTTAATTTATGGTATTTTGGGTCATATTTGGAAAAAATGTCAAAAGAGTATGAATAGGTATGCTGTTAGAATGGGCAAGTTTTGTCTGCTTATGACTGCTGTGAATAGCTTTTTCGGTGTTCTTTAGCCTTCCGGTGTGTGTCTGTGCACAAAGTGTGTGTGTATGCATGTATCCCTCTCTTTGTATATACCCATATTTAACTAAATAGAAAGAGAATCTTCTCAACAGAAAATTAGTGTTGCAATTGAACTGGATCAAACTCAGTTTGAGGCCTGGAGACACCAGCGTGTAAATGAAGGGGTTCAAAAAGTTGAAGGAAGTGGCCCCAGCAGAGGCTGTGGAGGGATTCAGCTGGACCCAGGGGAAACTCTGGCCTGGTCCTGCCTATGCCCGAGTCCTGTTTCCTCAGGCAACATCTGCAGAGACAGTCGGGGACATGGAACTACTTTTTGGATGACCCTGACACATTGTTAAAGGAACTTTGGAGCCTCTGTGAGTCGCTGGGAAATATCTGCTAAAGTACAGTAGCAAATGGCATATTTGCGATTGCGAGTTCCCAGTATGACTGCTCTGAATAATCAATAATTTCCTACAGTTTGGTGCAAAAATGATAGCTGCTTATTCGCCTGCTTTTCTTCCAAGGCTCTTGTTGATTCCATGGGGATGTGGGTAACGTGTGCGTAGGGATCCATTTCCTGAATCTAGGATGTTTATAATTCAACTTGGAAACGAGCAGAAGTGTGAAAGGCTGATACTCCAGTGGAGGCTGCAGAGTGATAGGAAAGTCAGGATCGACCTGTGCAGTGTTCTGCTGGGATCCTTTGCTCCGTATATTTATTTGCTGCTGCTTCTAACCAGAGGGACATGTGAAGGGATTAGGATATTCAAGGAAGACTTAGCAAGCAAAACAAATAGATAGATGTAAGGAAGGGTAACAAAGTGATATGGGGATGCAGGAAAAAATGTTTTTCTGTGGTCATTTGAAGAAATAAGGTGTTCTGTTGTTTTTATTCTGCATTTATCATTATGCAAAATAGTATTTGAAAGAATCCTATCATAAAGCTATGCTTTTGTATCACTAATTTAGACTGTTTTTTAATAAAAATTATGTTAATCACTGACTTGATTTTTTTAATCTTTTCATTTTGCTTCTGTAGATAGATTGTAGGCTCTTGATTATTTGAAAAATATAAAAAGATTGTGACTTATTTAATCTTTGCAATACTGAAATTCTGTCTCTGTTTTTAAGGTTCTTATCTTGTCAAACAATCTCCTAAAGAAACTTCCCCATGGAATTGGAAATCTACGGAAACTCCGAGAGTTAGATCTAGAGGAAAACAAACTGGAATCCTTGCCAAATGAAATAGCTTACCTCAAGGATCTGCAGGTGAAACGATAATTGCAGTGATAAACATCTTAAGTCCTTTTTTTTTTATGCTTTGCTGATTTAATTATAAGCTAGTTTAATGAGGGAAACTATTCAAGGCGTATATACATGCATGTATCTATCTATCTATCTATATATATATGAAAAACCAAGAGTTAAGAATCTCACTCAGCTTTCTCCAGAGTTTATCCCCACCATTTCTTCTACAGATTCATGAGTTGATTTTGAACAAGTTTTAAGGAACTCAACCATGTTCTGACATGAGTTCAGTGCTATTGCAGGAATATCCTCTTATTTCAGTAATGTTCATAAAAGCTTTTATATTTAGGATGGAAGGCACTTGTTTTATGTGCTTTTTTTCATGCGCTGCCCCCTTCTCAAGTTTGGTAGTGCTTAATAGAGGTCTGAAATGTTGTAGAAGACGAGTAGAACATTTGTTGCTCAATTACCGAAGGCCAGAATCCATCAGTTGTCAGCTGCAGATCTTGCTATTTGTTGTTGTATGAATACACAAGTTAAGCTATTTTTTTTAAAATGTGCTTTTTCCCTTAGAAATTGGTTCTGACCAATAATCAGTTGACCACCCTTCCCAGAGGTATTGGTCACCTTACCAATCTAACGCACCTTGGGCTTGGAGAGAATCTCCTCACACACCTTCCTGAGGAAATTGGTAAGATTATTTTTTTCTGGTTTCATGCGGTTCCTGACACACAAGATAGGCATCTACTGTGCTTGCAAATAGAGGCCACAAAATTCATGTGAAATTTCCAGAACCTGATATGAAATGTGTGCCACAGCAACAGCACCGTAGTGTATGATCTTTATCATCATGACGAACTGTCATGAAATGAATGATCTATCTTTTTTGCAGTGTTTCATGTAAAAAATTGCCAAATGCACATTAGCTTGGAATGGTGAGAGTCCGGATTCTTCCACAAGATTGTCTATTCTTGAACATTCTTGCAAAAAGTTCAGTGTAAGAAAGGAAAGAAAAAGCCTTGTGTAAGGAGTATAGACAGCTGAAACAAACATTTTTGCTGATAGTCTTGCAAATACTTCTGTTCTTAAAGCATCATATGGTTTTTCATCTTAATGAGAAGAGAAGGAGATCTACAGAAGGAAAGAGATGAGTAGGATTCTTTCCGTCTACTTGAGACACCCAGAATAAGCAGGATTCAGAGCACCAAAAACTGAGAGGACAAGCTTCTGAACAGTCAGTTGCAAGCATCTCCAGAGCATGATTCTGAGTACTAAAGTTATAGTGTCAAAGTGTCTTGGGATTAAGGTTTTTTTTTTTTATAGAGGCAAAAAGCAATGAGAGAACCAACACAAAGCAGATATGGTCAGAAACATAGGAATGTGCTGACGGGGGAAGCTGGGACATGGTCTGAGTGTCTCAGCATCTCCAGGAAGAGCCGTTACAGCTTCTGCTTGTCATGAAGAGGTTTCAGTGTGAGAAGGACATTAAACAACCTCAGTAGGAAGCTGCCCTTATAATTTAGTTCATAAATTAGTGGAGGGAGCTCTGAAGCTTTGTAAACTACCTGAAGAATTTAAGTCAGTATCATAGAAATACTATTACAAGTGTATTATTTGGTTATTACAACAGATATTCTTAATATTGCTGGACAGTTGGCTGTTTCCAGAGTGCATGCTTTGTCTGAAATTATCAGCCATCTCCCATTATTTCTTTTATATACTTTCCCTCTTGCTCATTTTCCATGTCTTGAGCTCTGACTGCTCTTTTTCTTGTGGAAGAGGAAATAATAACTTAATATATTAGGTTATAGGTGTTTATGATTTACAAAAAAAAATGGAGAATGTTGTGAAAAAAGGACTTGCATATTTGGAGTGTATTTCAAAGATAGGGATTTATTTTGATATTTAATTGTGTGGAGGACTGGAAATCTTAAGAAAGAGGAAATTACTCTGTTTTCCAGCTTCTGATTAATCTGTTACAGTATCTGTAGTAAGGACAAATCATCAAGTTTGAAATCAGGAGATTTTTTTTCACCCAGGTTTGATCTTTTTAATAAATTCACTGCTGTGTAGACCTTCCCATTTCTTCCTGTGGCACCTTACAGTTATATCTTTAGGTCTCTAATGTTTTGGTTCGAATTAACACAAAAAGTATATTGAAACTGTGTATAAATATTGTCTAGGCTCTTCCAATTTGATATTCAATGTGGCCTGCAATTGCAGAGGGCTAGACTGACCGATTCAGATTTAATCCCTCTCAGCTCTGTTATTCTGTGTGCTCTCAGCTGTTATCTAAAGGAGAGTTTTAGTGGACATTTTTACAGAAAATTAAAACAAATGTAGTTCTAAAGTTGCTGTGCTTGGAAATAGATGAGTCACTGAACATAGATTCTGTACAATAAAAAATCTCCAAGCAGAACAGACTTATTCTTTCAAGTTTCAGTCTTAAAGATGTACGCCTTGTGAACCAATAAGATTGTTTCTTTAATTTGTTTTGACCAGGTACACTGGAGAATCTGGAAGAACTGTATTTGAATGACAACCCCAATCTGCACAGCCTTCCCTTTGAGCTGGCTCTTTGCAGCAAACTGTCAATAATGAGTATTGAGAACTGCCCGCTCAGCCACCTTCCACCTCAGATTGTTGCGGGAGGACCCTCCTTTATCATCCAGTTCCTAAAAATGCAGGGACCATATCGTGCCATGGTCTGATGCTAATCGGATTGTCCAATACACTGTTCAAAATACCAACTGCATTAATGTTGTAATTGTCTGCATATATATATAATATAATATGTAGCTTATATTATATTATATATATATAAAGTATATAAATAATATAAAAAGGCAAATTTAAGACTGCATTATGTGTTTCTGCTAATAGAGGAATCATAGCCATTTAGATTTTTTTTTTAATTCTGTAAAAATGCTTGTGTAAGTTTTCTTTGCTGAATTTGATGGAAGTTGTCTGAGTAATCTGGAAATACCAGTTCATTTAAAGCAATTGCCAATGAACTCAAAATTTTAAATTTAAGGGACAAAAATAGTTTTGCTTAGATTTACTTTCAGTTAAGAGAAATGTATAACCTTTATATAATGAACTTTTCTGTTATCCTCCCTCTTTTTTTGTGTCAAAACCTGAAAGGGTGATGTGTCCTGAGGTTGGGATTTTCTTTTAACTTATTTTGAGATTTGAAGCAAATGATGTTTTTTATATTGTTTACAGTCAGAGTAAATCACTGGAGTTTGTTTTATTTTGATTTGCTCTGTTTTAATCATATCTAGAATTTATATGCCTCTGCTGATGAAATTTTATCAACCGGTTCATGTACTAAAACCACACTCATCAGAACAACTAGCAGGTGAAAAGGATGCAGTCAAAACAAAAGAAAGGAGAAAAAAAAGGAAAAAAAAAAAAGCTTGAATTCTTTTAAGTCTCGCTTCCCTGAGTTATCAGTTGCAGGCATAACATATCTGAACTGAGCCTTTTGCGGATGGTCTTTTCTAGCACAAGTAAACCTTTTCAGATTGGTAAAAATGTGGAGTATTCTCAGTGAAGAGCAGTTTTCATTTTGTGAAGTAACAATTCCATAAGGTCTGACAGTACAGCTAAGTGGCAAGGAAATAATATATGTACATTTTTATTACAATGTTGAGTCATAAACTACCATGGGAAGTTTTAAGGATTACTTATAGTTCTGTACAATAAATGAATGTGTCTTACTTTTAAACACTGCAATATATGTAAGTTTTAAGGTTGGTTAACAATGTACTTTGGTTTTATATCTTGACTTGCTTTGTACCTCCTTCCATTATGGAACTTCTGTGTCCAAGCACAATATCTTCACACTGTGCTGTTTTGCTGCTGAACTAAATGCACTTTTCCCCACAGCTGGGGCACTTGCTTCAAAATATTCAGTTCAGTATCCTGAGTATTCTTTTTTTTTTTTTTTTTTAACTTCATCCTCTCTGTTTCAGTATTAAACCCATCTATTAAAAAAGAGGCACCTTTTTCATTTGTGCATAGATGTTACTAGCTCAAGAGAAACACTGTAAGTAGTGGACATTCAGTTTTATCTTGACTTCTGTGGTTCCTTACAAGGCCGAAGATGCTTCAGGGAAATGTACACTCTTGCTGCACTTGCAGGGCCAGCTGATCTCTCTGGGGAAGACAGGAGCTGTAGAAGTGGTCGCGTTGCCCCGTGTACTGAAGAGCTCTCCACTTCGTACTCATCGCAGTTGTTGCTGGGGTAGTGCGACTTGGAGGACTGTATGTTTTGAGCAAAATCCAATCAACTGATGCCATGAGAAATCTATTTCGCGTGCAGAAGTTTGGGATATAATATTTCTGGCTTTCAGGCATGCTTAATTATATATGTATTGCCTTGATCTAGTTCTTTCCGGCATTGTACTCTGTTTTCTTACGTCTTTTCCTTAACAAGGAGTAAGTTTAAATGGAAGGCAGGTGGAGATATAAAACTTTAGAGGGCTTAAATGTGCTGTAAAACTATTGTAGATGTCACTGGATTTTACTAAGTAATGTCCTTTTCTTTCTCTCTCACATGCTGTCTTCTCCCCCCTCCATCTACTGTAGCTTCCAGTTTAGACTTTAGTTTATAAAAGGCTAATTTGTTACAGTTCTGCCTGAAGTTAGCCTTTCTCAGCATTAAGGTGTTAAAATATGAAGATGCTGAAATGTGTAGTTCCAAGACGGTAATCTAATTTTTGAATTTACTGCTAAATTCATAATTGGTGCCCTCAGGTCACTAGGAGAAGGTGGTTTGATTAATGGTTCCTTAAAGCAAAGGTGGCAACCCCTTGTGTTTTACATTATCTTGATCTCATTCTCTGTCTGCTCTTCAGCCCCGTTTTTATAAGAGTTGACAGGATGAAAATTGTTAATATTTCACGTCGTTAAGGTACACGGTTAATGACTGTATGATCGGAGTTGACCCTTTCTCACAAAAATCCTGGGGGAGAAGTTGGCTACCAAAGTAGGGCTCGATGCACTTGCTTAAAAACAAACAAAGGATTCTTTTCATTACACTTACAGGAATAAAAAAAGCTATGTTTTAATTCATTATGATATTAAAATCAGGATATTTTTTCAAACTATCTTTGTACTTTTGGTTGTTGCAATGCCAGATACTCCTGAGCCTTGTTTTAGGAATCAAGGTTTTGAGGCAAACAATTTCTTGGTGTTTCAAGAAAATTGAATGAAAGCAGTGTGAGAGATGTTCTGCTACAGGAAAAATTGAAAAGTTCATCTTAACCTGAAGTTTAGATGTTAAATGTGTGGATTGGGAGTAGGTGCATATAAATCCATATATATATATACACGTATTTGAATTTATATCCAGATCCATATAAATCCAGTTTTTGACAGCTTGATCATTCAAGACAGTTTTACATCCTGACATAACAGACTTCTGCATTTCCCAGGAACTGAATTATTAACTGGTGAGGTTTCTAGATTGTATTTGGTGCTTAATGACATTCAGTTGGACAAATGCAGGCTTATACACACATACAAATTTGATTTGGCCTACTCGGCTAAAATGTGAATGGTAAGAACTTCATCCTGACCACAGTGAGTGTGTGTATATGCATGTGTATAAAATACATACATATATATATATATATATATGTATGTATTTTATACACATGCATACATGCATATATGTATGCTATATATATGTGTGTGTGTGTGTGTGAAATCATAGACAAGATGGATAAATAAATTTTTAGCATGTCTATGATTAAACAGGGTTGAATAAACAGGTTCCCTGAAAAATATGTTAAAAATGTTATGAACCCCTTGATGAGCTGTTATCTTTCAAATATCCCTCTAAATTATTTTTAAGTGTGACAATCTTTAGTTTGGTTGAAAATCATAACCTTTATGGCCGTCCCATAGACAAAATATTATCAGTTTGGTATGTGTCTGTGCTTGTATACATATGAATATGTGCATATACACCGGCTCTGTAAAGACAGATATAGAGTATGGTATGCTCTATACAGAATCATGCCATGATTTAATAGAAGTTAAATTATTGTCCTGTAGAATAAATAGTGTTAAGAAAATCTGTTCAGGTGTAGAGCAGACTAGGGATTTATTAAATAATGAAGGAATAATTGCCAATGTGACTCAGATTTTGATCACATACTGCATTTAAATCTGCGACGTTAGAAAGTTCACTTGTGATTCTTGGCTGCAAAAATGTTTTCTTTTAATATAAATAGTATAAAACTATTGAAGTTATGTCCCTGGACTGCTTAACTTCCTAAATTAAATTGTCTATAATATAAATGCAGTGAAGGAAATGCTGCATGTAAAGTTGGGCCACAGAGTTATGTAATGGGCACTTATTTGTCAGATGCTGTTGGAGACTTTCAAATTCATATTCCCTTTTTAGAAAGTGTTTTGTGTTGTAGAATACTTGCTTCAGTGCCTCTCTTGGTTATAGGGTTTCTTGCAGTTTTGTCCATCTTTTGCTAATGTTGTGTGAGAAAGTGCATGTCCAGACTTCTTGAAGGTTGTGTTTGCTCATGTACATGATTTAGTAAAGCATTACTCAGACTGTCTAACTGGTTAGCACTTAAACCTATTCTGTCACATGAAATTCAAGTACCGTCTTTAATCCTGGGCATTTTTAAAAATACCTTTTATTTAAAAATTAGAAAAATTTATCAGATGTTATTTTCTCCCTTTTTAAAAAAAATAATTTCTGAATCAGCACACACTCATATCAGGGGAGGATTTGTCTTCATATCTTGATGCAGCAAAGTATTTTTGTACAGTCAGTATCAATCACACCTCAGTTTTATCAAATGGGCATGCCAGAATTGCTTCTAACTAGATGTGCAGTTGGCAGTAATTTGCACAGCACACAAACTCGAGGCACAGTGAAGACAATTACGAATGATAGTATCAACAAGTGGTATCTAACAGTTTTTGTTTTATGCTAGCAAAGATCAGAGGATTATGTTTATTATTCTGATGTTTAGGTCTTAACCAGGACTGCACAGGAATTTGCTGTGGAAAAATACAAGACCACGCTAACTTTGTGGTTAAAAGCTACACATGAGTGTAAACAGTCTACAAAAAATGTACTTTTAATCTGAATTATTGTAATGTTGATTGTTATGTCTATATAAAAGATTGCCTTGCTTTTTTTATAAGAGTCATTCTGTATCAATGCATTCATTATAAATAGTATATTTGTAAATGAGCTGCCACTGAGTCTTTTCAAAGTTTTCTAGTGTTTCTAGTCTAACTTAACCTGGATGTAAGTCATAATCATTCAGCGTCCCAAATTACTGAGAACTGCTTTCTCATGATATACTCTGCACTCCTTCAAAGATGTGTTTTCAAGTAAAATACAATTTTTCATGTATAGCAATTACAGGGAACTTCAAAAGTTGCATGACAGTAACTGCTTTATGCATAGAAGACATGTAAATTGCACACCTTCATAAAGCAAATGTTGGTAAAATCTTTCATTTTGTTATAGTACAGGAAGGCGTAAAGCAAAAAGAAATTGAATAATTTTTCTCTTTGAAAGGGAAAGAATCTTGAAAATGGCTTTTAGAGCAAAATGCTTTTCAGCAGTAGTAGCAATATCAACATGAAAATAGGTATGGAACTGCAGTCCCTAAGCGACAGTCACCTGTATTATTTAATCTTCGGGTTTAATAAAAAGATAGTATTTCCAAGCTGACATTTCATAACTGTAGAAGGTTATCTTTTAACTCTGCAAAACTCATATGATAGAGGCTGTTTCAAGAAGGTCACGCTTACATCATGTTCTGCAAACAAGAAAAAATGGTCCCATCCTGCGAAGTCAGAATTGAAAAGGCTGCAGGAGCTCGATGCGATGGTGGCGAGGAGGGCACCCATGTCCCTCGCAAGGTGGTTGTCTGTGACACGGTGGGCCAGGTTTGCAGAGTGGGCAGCCGTCGCTGTCATGATGATCTGAACATCCGTCCAGGTAGGCTCATGTCAGACCTTTGCTGAGGGAAAACAGTAGAGGGGCTGGTGAAGCTGCTGTCTTGGAGCTGGGCATCACTCCCTGTTCCTGTAAGCGATCCAGCGAGCTCAGCACAGGCTGGGGGATGTTTGAGACCCATCACGAGGGCAGCTCTCCTGCACTGCGCAGAGCCGGGCCAGCAGCCCCTGTGTCCCACGGCGCTGGATGGCAGGTGGTTAAGGACAGCCAGAGGCATCTGCCTAGGTGAGTACTTCCTCTGGGACGCTTCTTCCAGAGCTCCCAACTAGAAGTGGGAAGATTTCCTAGGAGGGAAGCAGTGTCTGCATCATGGCATGCAGTAGCCCTTGCTAGATTAGGCAACTTCACAGAATAAAGTGCCCCCCCCCTTTTTTTGCTTTATTTTTAATCTGTGGGTGTATCTGGCTTCCACAACATCCTGTGTCTAATAATTCTACAATATAATTACATGCTGGATTCAAGAGTACATCCCTGCTTTTGCTTCAGCCCACACTACCTTATCTGGTAAATTCTACCTATACCCTGAGAAATTTTTGAACACTTAATTTTTCAGTTCATCTGTTCTTTACTATTCTTGAGTTTTTCATTTTTTTAAATAAATATTCATTCTTTTTTTATAAATAATGATTCAATTAAGAACTGGGGAGTCTCTTCTCCGGGCCATAGCATTGTAGTTATTTAGCTTTCTTCTCAGACAGCAACTCTTCCGAACTGTGATAATCCTTGTAGCCTTTCACTGCAGTTTTCCAGTCCCATCTCTTCCAGTCTCATCTCTTAATTCCTTTTCATTCTCTGTGGCCTTCAGCAAATTATTTTGTTCTTTGCATGCTTTGGCTAGTTTGCGAAATAAAAGTACAGCTCTTTTACAAAAGTAAAAGTTGAATAGGTGATGAGGTTTAGTG